CAGGGAGGATTCCTAAGGCTTGTTGGTAAGTCTTTAGACAAATTTCTTGACACATATCTTTAAATGCGCTTTGAATAAACATACGCTGAGCTCTTTCGAGACGTCTTTGTTCCCTCTCTTTCTTCTTTTGCCTAGCTAGATTTTCTTCTTCAGTTCTGCCGATGACATACGTCATGACAGGTTTATCTTCATAGGGTTGTTGATTCAGTTGTCTAGGTTTCGCATAATTTTTCATCGTTTCCATAGTAACAGTATACTCTCCGTTCTTCTTACAAACTACTAATAATGGCCTCTTCAATGGACGCTTCTTCTTGCCAGTATCTTTTCTTCTCTTTTTAGCAATAACGTCCCCTGGATTCCGAGCTAATTTTAAAAGTCTGTATACAAACTTGTGAATAGCTCCGGGTTTCCATTGGGGGTTAAACTACAAGAAAAAAAAAACAAAAAATGAAAAAAAAAAGGCAAATACAAATATTTTAAAACGAGACAAACTTTTCAGTACCTTTAGTCCTGGCACATTGTCAGCATTCCATAACCAGCCCATATTTCTCGGCACCGGACCCAATGTCCCTGTGCAAGGCATTGCACAGTGAATGTGTCCGATTTGAGGAGCTGTAACAAGTAAAACAGATTGTGTAAAAAGAACTACGTTTCAACATATTTTAATTCTGCGATTAATATCATAAAATACGTACGTATACCTTTGTAACCGTAATTAAATTTGAACCTGTCGTCTTTCTTTTCTTTTTTTGGTTTTTTTCTGTCCTTTTCGGATTCACTTTTTTTCTCTGCTATTGACCGTTTATCAGACGAAGTACCAGATTTGGATCCAGTTCTTACACTCTTTTGACCCGAATCATCTTTCTTTTTAGTATCACTTCCAGATGTACTTAATGCTTTTAATTTATTTTTGTCCATAAGTTTGTGATAAACAGGACAAGGCATGGGAAAGGTGTGCTTCGGCGCATAGTCATATTCTTCTCCAAGTTTTTCATAACCTCCACATATACCACAAAGAGTTGTTTTCTTTGTATAACTAAATGTACACTCACATGTACAATAACAAGGATCTTTGCCGACCTTCATCTTCGCTGTAACCCCTCCTACAACTTCCTCGACCTTTTGCGTTTTATCACAACATATCTTGTTCAAATTTTCCAAGTCTAACAAGACTTGTGGATCCGGGGGTGTATGCACTTTCCTATGTACTCTATTCTCACATTCAACCTTTTTACATTCAGTAACGCTAAGTTCTGCATCCTTACTAAATATACATACGCTTTCCGAACTGCTACTCGAGCTACTCTTGTTTACATCACTTATAGTAGTTCTGTAAGCATCGTCTGATTTATCGGTTTGACTAACTTTAACTGAGGGTGATCCTGCGCCCGATTTACTATCACTTTTGTTTGGCTCAACTGTGAAATATCCGACAACATACACTTGTTTTTTTGGAAGAAAAGATTGGCGAGGACAGCACATGTGACTATAAATGTAATTTAAAATATTGAATGTCTGCAAAGCTTGTATTGCTGACGTGGATTTTGATTTTCTTGTGGTAACGTATTTGCTTTTCATATTTGTTATGCTGTGCGACATTTCAGTTTTCCAAGTTTTAAGTTCATTTACATTAGACTTTTTGTATATGTCTATGTCCATATCTATATCTAAATCTTGGACGTCTATTAGTGAATCTTCACTAAGTGTTATATGTAATTTTTCATTGGATTTAAATGTTGTAATCAAAGATTTATTATTATCGGATTTTATAGCTTCATCTATTTCTATTTCGTTATCGATATCCTTCGATACATCTCCTTTATGAGGAACAATTGCCTGAGACGGAGGATTACTCACAATAGTATCGGATATAACGGAACTTTGATCTCTTACTAGGCTTAACTTCACAATGGTCTTAAAACATGCGATTTTCTGTTTTCCTGTATCGTTTAATATTGTGCATTTCTTCACTGTTTCTATTGGTTGAGGTAATTCCTTATTAAAATCCAAATTCCTCAAATAATCAATGTACAGTTTCTCCCATTCGTACTGCATAAATCCAAATTCTCTTACCGTTTTAAATTTCTTACGAAGGAATATTATCATCGGCATTTTCTCCATCTTTGATATTAATCTTTTGACATCATATGATATTATTATTGAACTAGCAGCGTGCGGTTTTGGTTTTCTAGATTTCTCATTGAATGAACTGGTTAGTGTTGATTTTCGTGTAAGTGCGGATTGGTCTTTTGCTTTTTTGTGTATTATTCTTGGATCTTTAATATCTAACGCGAACAAATCACTAAATGTACAGAGAATTCCAAACTCTCTACATTTAACGAAACTGACGAAATCTTCTATTTTGATTTCAATCAAAAACAATGAATCCGAAGAAGACATTATCAGAATTGATTTTCATTCACTTTACGTTACATAAACAAGAATAATTATTTTCATTACTTTAAAATTTCACACTTGAAAATTTCAAAATTTTCCCAAAATGGTATGTCATTTTTTTATTATGTTATTGTTTGGATGAGTAATATCAGCCAGGCCGTTGTTATGTAACTTTTTTTAATTATCAAACTGCATTTGATCTATTTTTTTAGAGCAATTTCCAAAATTTCTGAAAGATAAAAATCCCAGATTTTTTAAGGTCTGAGGTCCACCCATCCCTTCTTAGATTTATCCTTAACTGTCCATCCACTTTGTGTTAATACACACAAGTATGTAATACCTAATTTATTAAGATAAAAAATTCATTATATATACTTTGAACTATTCACAATACTTTGAACGGACATCATCATCAGCAGTCTTTATCTGTCCACTGTTGGAAATAGGACTTCCCTAATATCGTCCACAAAATGCGCTCATACGCCTTCTGCATCCAACGACCCAGTCGTCAGATTATGAACATAAGTATATGTATGTATAATCACTTTTAATTACCAACTAATAATAGGTACTAACTACCGGAGATAACACAAGAGCTATGCTAGTCATGCTTGCCGGATTATAATAAAAAAACTGACAATTGAAGCATATACATATTTATTTACCAAAACGATATTCAGATCCAGTTGTGGTAACGCTTCCACCATTGCCGATAGACCTGACGGATCGACTTCTCTGAACCGTTTTATTTGGGATCCTCAGAGGACTCAATCTCTTTTTTGAAGTATTACAAGCTCTATTTGTTTTCGACGGCAATCTAAGCTCTAATCCTTCGTTATAAATCTGTTCCATTATCGCATTATATCTCGCCAACCTTGCTTGATCCACGGCGTATTCTACATCATCCTGCTGCATCAATTTTCTTTTAACATGTTCTACGGAAACACTCATTACAAGAGGGTTATTTACTTTTCCTCGAATGCCAACTTTCTTAGGTTTTTCTTTTCCAACTTTTGCGATAGCACTGCTTGGTACCTTCTTTTCCGTAGGTTTAGGTGAAACAGATTTCTTCACAGGCTCAGTTGCCGCTTTACCTGGTTTGTTACTTTCTAATTTATGTTTCGCTAATTTAGAGCTCCCAGTTTCGGTGGTCGACATAGTTTTAGATTTGACACTTTTTGCTAATTTCCTGCTAGAGTACCACGCCCATTTACCATCTTTCTCAATGTAACCGTCAATTCCGATCCTTAAGGTACGCCCTGTGTTGTCAGTGAAAAATCCCTCTTCTGACGAATAAAACATACCGTCGGGACCGGTGAAATTCATTGGCACCCACCTATTATCAGGTCCTATATAACCATCTTTATTGATCTCCAACCAAACGTGCTTTGGGTCCCAAAACCCTCCGAGATCGCTGCATTCCTGCTTTCCATCCGGACCTTTAAAATATCTAGGTACCGGATTGCCATTCTTATCAAGTAACTTAACTTTATAATCTAAGTAATTGTATTGACTGTCATTGTCAGTAAGTACTGGGGGATGTTTTACCTTAGGATCCCAACGAGCCAGTGGAGGAGTGAACTCAATGATCCAATCATCGTTATCTGTATCACTGCTGGTTATAGTTCCTTCATCAGAGCAGGAACATGAGTCTACTTGAGGAGATAGAGGTTTTACCGAGTCGGTGTAACAAGGGCATTCAGGATTATTGGGTTCCGGCAACGGCAATAACCCAATAGCTTGATTGTATGCTTTCAAACAAATTTCTTGGCATCTGTTTCTGAACGTAGATTGAAGGAGGCGACATTTTCGTCTCGTTTCTCGACGCTCTCTTCGTTCCCTCTGTTTTTGAATCTTAGCTTTCTCTTCCTCGGTTTTTCCTATTGTGTATATCAGTGGTGGTTTTTCGTCGTAAGGATATTGGAATACCAAACGCTCTTTTGAGTATTTTTTGAAGACTTCCATCTGTACCGTGTACTCGCCATTTTTCTTTTTTACTACTAGAGTTGGTTTCATTTCAGTTTTTTTCTTTCTTTGCAATAAGGCTCTCTTTTTCTTCGCTATGATATCAACACCTTCTCTAATTGCTCTGTAACGACGCACCAGTATCTTATTGGCTGCACCCGGCCTCCATTTCGGTCGAAACTGTTGGAAATAAATAATATTTTCATGTAATGAAAAATAAAAGAGAAAGCAATTATTTTTTTAGATCGTTAAAACAATGAAAAAACAACATAGCCAATACACATTTATTGTTATACAATTATATTTGTTTTACAAAGTTTAATGAGGTTGTTTATTTTTTTACTTTTCAATAACTTGGTGAACCATCAATTTGTTTTATCCTGAAAAATAAATACTATCGTTTATTGATTATTTTTCGTAATATAAATCACACAATAAACGGGGATAACCAACAAAAAATAATAAAAATAAACTTACCAAAAAGAAACCATGAAGGAAATTGGAAAACACAAACCAAAAATAAAAAAAGCTATTCGAAAAAACAAATGGAATCACTATCAATAGATAGATGACATGTCACAACACTTTCTCATTTATAAATAATATTCTAAAACTTTAGCTTTACATCAGACAAGTCTCGCGAAATCAAAACTATGGACATTTCAATATCACATGTATGGTTTTTATGCCCAAGCAGTCCAATGCCAATGTTCATTCGTCTAAACAATAGCGAATGAATTCTAGAATAATTCCAGGAAGCATTAAAAGTAAATAAACAGCATTCACCTTTAAACCCGGAACATCTTCTGCTGTCCAAAGCCAGCCCATATTTTTTGGGACAGGCGGAAATGGGTATTTCACCTCTGGCGGCTTTTCAACAGGTGAAGCTGGAAATAAAACATTATCAAGACAATAATTGTACATTTATGTAATACTTACATTGCTAATGTAATAATTTACATTATAATCAGGTGAACATATAAATATGCACTTACGTGGTTTCTCAATTTTAGGAATTATTTTCTTTTTCTTTTCTTCTTTCTTTTTCTTTGTTTTAGTTTTCGTTATCGATTTATTTGATTTCATCTTATGTGAGCTTCTAAAAGATCTATCGGATCCCATCTGTTCTGATTTTGACTCGTGTATGCCGCCAGATTTTGTTGCGCGATGTTTCTTATCTGATGTCTTCG